GTCTCAGTGTATAATCCAGGTATCTCCAAAATCTTAATGAGGGGTATAGTGCTTATACACATACTCCCAATACTCCAATCTTTGTGAGTACTAAGATTGGTGCGTACTTTGTGTGGCATGAATCATTTACTTGACAAAGGATCCACTATCTGATGTCATCCTTGGAGATTTCCATTCGGGCATTTAAAACGGGATTAGAGTTATCAAACTTTCATTTGCTCTCTTATGAACATATTTGGTAAAATCAGTTTTGCCGAATTCAGTCTATGCACATCTGCCTTGGATTCTATCCAAGGAAGGTTATTTTTCATAGGACCAGGGGGATCTCATTATAACCTGCTTCTACCCCAGATACTCCACAGCCTAGACTCCCATGAGCACCTTTCCAACCAGGTCCCAGGGCAGGAGGACAGAGTGAAGTTAGCAGTTCAGGACTTAGCTTTAACCGGTTCTCAGCCAGGAAACACCAGGCTCTTGGGAGAAATTATTCGCAGAGGAAATAAAATTCCTCTGAGCCTTTTTATTTTCTTTCACTACAACGAAAGGACATAAGATAGGTGAGATAGTGTGAGGTTCAATTTTTTAAATATTCAAATATTTCCCTTTCCATACTACAGGAGACCAGAAACGGTTATAGGGATACTTCCAATGCTTCATTTATTTAACACATGGCAGCTTGATGATAGGTATTCATTCTGGAACACTGAGCAAAGAAAGGTTTAGCCATTAACTAATAGAAATACAAAATAAGCTAGACACATGGGCCAAAATTGGGATATAAAATCAAGCCCTAGAGTCTTCTTAAATGAGACTCAGTTCCTAGAGAAAGTAGCAAGGCATTAGATTTTCCTGTGGGTTCCTGGTTGAGTTCAGTCATTAAGACTCGGGAGACCTCACTGATAACTTTTAGTATGTGTTGGAGTTTCCCCAGCCGCCTTATTTAAAACTGCAATTTTTTCCAGCCCCTCTTACCTGCTTTCCTGGTTTATTTTTCTCTGTAGCACTCATCGGCCTCTGACATACTATCTGTTGCAATTCTTTATTTGCTTTGTGTCTGTCTCCACTTCTAGAATATGAGCTCCATAAGGGCAAGGATTTTGTCACATATGTTTTTTTTCCCGGCCCACAGCATGTATTCAAGGTTTTCTGGAATGCATAAAAGTCATCTGTAAGAGGATTTTCACAAAATGTCAGTAAGGATCTCCTTGATCTCTGTGCATCATCTCTATGGTGGATCTGCAGCTTGTCCTAAAGGGTAGAAATACCAACGTGATCACCAAGTCTTCAAGACAATGAAGAATGGCACGTAATCTCCTTTGCAGCGATGTTACTTTGCTGTGTGCTACTGGCCAGAACTCAGTGAGCAATCCATGTCCAAACAGCCTGCACCTTACACATCAGGGGACTTGATCTGTAAGCCTGGTTATCTGAATTGCTGAGTGAAGTGGCATTCTGCTGATGACCAACAAGGAGTTCATTCTGCAGATTTCAATATTTTGTTTCCTTGGTATGTCTCTATAGATTTTCCTTAACTCTCTTTAATCTTTCCTCCTTGACTTCCTTCCTAAAGATTATTTTCTTTTCCCTTCCACTTTCAATGAGGATAACACTCAGAGATTGTGAAATATACTAATATTCCAAATTTGTCTGTATTAAGAGACACGTAGAGGATGATAACATTTGCATAGCACATAACCCAGAGGGGGATGTTAAAGCTGCTTGGGACCTGAGATAACTGCTTCTGGGCTTCTGCTGGTCCAAGCCCTGGGTGTTATTTCAGGACCCCCAATGGCAGCCCCAAAGTTCGAGGAACCAATGTGTCTGCATTCTAATTACACCAGGACACTGTGGCACAGTGGCAAGGAGCTTTACCGATGCCTCCACATCTGCCATTTATGATGAATCCCATCCATTTGTGCTTTGCAGCAGCAATCTCCACCCCGCCTACCCATCTTCTTCAATGTTCACCCTTCCCTTAGCTCCCCTCCCAAGATTCCAAAGAAGAC